CATCAATTTACCATACATGTCTAAAATATCAAAACATCAGTCACAGAAAATATATGTAACTCATGAATGACTCACATGAAGTAGTTTTAACTTACACTTTATGAACTAAATAACAGGTTCATTGTCACTGGTTAGATATTGTTCAAAATGTTATGTGCCACTATCAAAGGATATGCATTTGTATTCGGTGGTGATAAAAAATACATATAGCTTGCTCACCATCTATCTATCAAGTTCCAACTATGATAATACAATTTACTTGAATTCTGTGAATGGTTACTTGCACTCCTTGCCTTTTCAATTTGCATAAAAATTTCAGGAAGGTATAACTAGCAATTTGCCTTCTCAATCTGACACAAATACAGAGAAAAAGGTAGATTTAAGCCAATGGAAGTTAATCCTATCCCTATCCCCTTACTTCTTGTGACTTTCAGCATAGCTTGGTGTGGCTGTAATGTACTGTGCTCCAAGATCTGCAGTACACACCCCATCATTAGGACTTCTACTGGTGCTCATTCGGCCACCTGGACACAAAAGAGTTGAGAATGTTTTGCATAAGAATTTGAATAAGCACAGAGGTAACACTTTTCATTACCCAGTAGGCAATACCTGACATTTACCTGAAAGTAATATGAATGCATGCACAGTTACATGAATGCATTACCTTACTTAACTGAAGGCAGTGGTCCACTTGAATAGAATGTTATTACTTATATATCTCAGTGTTACCAAATGGCAATATCCCACAGTTAACTGAAGGTAATACGTTACATCAGCCACATTTAACTGTGGGATATTGTCTTCAGGTACATGTAACTATGATAGCAATACCCCATAGTTACCCAATGACAACACCCCACAGTTAACTGCAGGTATATGTAATAGCCCACAGTTACCAAATGGCAATACCCCGTAGTTAACTGAAGGAAATACCCCACAGTAACATGTACATTTTTTCCTTTTATGTAATCTTTCACTCCTACAGCTCATCAGAAATATATACAATGTAGCAGAATGTAATAAGATACAATACAAAATAAGTATGGTTACCTGCTCCCCTAGCCTTATCCCAAAGCACCAGCTCAGCTTGCTGTCCTAAAGACTGTCTGAGCAAAGAGGCAGTGGAGGCCGCTGTGAGACCACCACCAACAAGGAGTATCCTCTTCATAATGGTGACAATCTAATAGGTCCACTTAATCTTTATCTGAAAGATCATTATTTATTTATATTGCCATAACACATACAAAAAATAATAAAAATAATAAAATAAAAATAATAATACTTTTGTGCTACCACAGACATTGAATAATATCCAACAAGAGGAGGTGAAATTTCAGGCTGACTACTTGTAGTACTGTACTGGTACGTGACAGTTACTGTACACTTACGGTACAAGTAAATTCAATGATGTACTTTTAAACAACACACTTGAATCATTATATCCACACTATACAATATAAAACGTTTCTTAAAAGCATGCTTATACCGCCCATCGTCTTGTCCACTGTCTCACCTGGCATCTGGCTTAGTTATGTTGTACCCGCGTATGTTGTACTGGTACATGCCAGTTGCAACTGTTGCATTGTGCCAGGTGAGTGTGCCAGGTGAGTTTTGACAGTGTCAGCTAGTTGTTTCAATGAATTCCTGATTTTTACCTTCAAACTTTATTCATGCAAAACACAACTAAACTTCGGTTGCTTTGGGTTGGTTTTCAAGCACCATTCTTCCCTGGTCGGTTCTCAACGAAGTTCCAACTCCTGGATTTGACCTCGTTTTCAGGTGCATACACAAAGCGCCATCTATCGTATCGAGACCGGTTATGGCGGTTTGTGCAAACACGTCTGTGTTAGTTTCGACGTGTTTTACAACTATTTACTGTGGATACCATTTTTTCATTATGTTGCTGACTGTAAATTAATTATCTCCAGGGTAAGTGTAGTGTATGGGATTTATGTTCTGTGCGCTGGCGTTGGATTTTATAACTTTCTCACCCTTATAATAATTTAGCTTTTCAATTTTCGACAAACTTGAATCGATTTAAACTGGTTTAGTTCGTAGATAAGAGAATATTGTGTTTCTTGGATTGCGTCTAGAAAAGACCTTGAAAGTCACCTTTTCCGTATCCTCTACAGTTCATTTTATCGAAATTTGGACTATGAATGTTGAGGAATTCAATTATGTCCAGGATTCATTTCCACATTGGATCAAAAGAAATTTCATGTATATCCTGTTGTAAAACCCTTTACCTTAACTGTTTTACGTCAAATGCCAATATTGGCAATAATAACAATATATATGTTGTTCTTAAATTGTTCCAGATGCATTCTAATGGACACCCCTACCTAGTTGAAAGCCAGAGAAAGTTGGTCACATTGTATGAGAGTATGTATAATACCAGCAAAGAAAGATGCCCAGCAGCATTTGGACAGAAAAGGACATCCATGGTAGAAAACATATATGTAGCCAGCCCGATAGCACAGGTTGGCCAATTTTTTTATACATATGCTGGACATAGCAGGTTTCTGAGAAGTCCATTTGAGAAAATATATATTTAAAGTTGCACAGTGTTATATTTTCCCACAAAAACTTTATGCAAAATCTCCTGGGGTAAATGTTATTTTTCTCTGACTTACGAATCTTTGACCTTCCTTTCCTGATGCTTGCACTCTGTAGCATCCTGAGAAAATTAAAAAGTCCTTAAGTTTGACTGCAAGATTCATCAGGAGGAACTGAATTTGATTTTAGCAACATAAATGCATGGCATTCACTGTTAAAATGTGATCAAAATTTACTTCTTGTGTTCAGATAAGTCATGCAAAAAAAAGGTTTATTTAACTAGGCTAACATTTTTAAGATCTTAAAATTTGTTCTGAAAAGAAAGTAAAAGTAACCATTTTAATACTGTAAATATACCATATATCTTGTGAAAAATAGACGTGGTTTGAGCAGCAAAGTTACACAGTAGATTAGACTTGTTCTTGCTGTGGATTCCAGAGAAGAAACGTTTAAAAAAATTACAACAATAATAAATAAATAAAAGAAAAGGAGGAGGGGGAGATAATACAAGCCATCTACTTCATCAAGTCATTTCCATCACCGGGGTTAGATTTTATCCATGTTAAAATTGCCTGTTTGAATGGGATTGTTGATAACACAATAGATGATTTCTATTTTAATTGTAAACCTTTTATTTATATGATTTTTTTTGATCAGGAAATGGAGTAATTGTAGAAATATTTTATCCACAAAGCATGTATGGCATTATTTTTCAGCTGTATGCAGAAAAATTGGCTCAGCCACCTCCTACTGTAATATCTCCTGCACCTAGGATACTTAAGGTCCCTGTACCACAAAGCACTCCTCTGATAAACACTCACAGGGCTGAGACACAGGTAGGAGGCTATGAGGTCACAGTTTTCAAGGCTTTGAATAATCTTTTTTTCTTTTTTTTTTTTTTTTTGAAACAACCACTCAGTAATGCCACCAATTCACTGTTTTCCAAATTAAAAAAAAATTCAGTGACATTTTGAATGTAGACAGGTTTGTATAATTATTGATTATTTCATTTTTCTATTCTCTTAGGTAACTTAAATGTTGGTACTTGTTGCCATTTTGGAGCCTAGATAGCAGTATTAAAAACATGGTTTCATTGTCTTAAATTGTTGGGTATTTACAGTGGGGAAAGATGGAGTAGTAAGACAAGTTTTTACTTTCACCTAAGCAACATTTGATAGATATTAGTTAACCTTTGTATGCCTGTCATTATAACATCCCTTAGATGATATTACAACTACTCACAACTGTGTGTCCGTGTGAACAAGACTGCAGTAGGAAGCTTATGTTGCTTATATAACTTTAATGTGGAATTTACAAAGTTTAACCAATAAAGGGAACCAGAGAAGATCAGCATTGGTCAGAATTGTGCCGGAAGTGACGTGCAGTGGTGTTAGAAACGAAGCTGAGTGGTCATTTTAACATAGAGGTGAATGGCAGTGAAGAT